CTGAATTAAAGTCCAGCTCCACTGTCTGACCACATGTTATAAACCCAATATTTTATGCTGAAGTTCACATCTCTGGTTGATGAAAAATACAAACAAAAATATTGAGGCCAATATTAAACATAAATACTCACATAAGAATACAATAATCTGTCCTAACAAATAATGAAATATCAAAGTTTTTGTGAAACAATGCAACATCACATAACATTTACAATACATAATTAATAACAATAATAATTCATTCATAATAATAAAAGTTTGTTTTATGTAGGGAATATGTTAACATTTTAACTTATTTCTGCTGAAAAATCAACAAACTTATTCTCTTATTTCTTGCTGTTGGGAATCTACTGTGTTCAGGGATTCTTACTGCCATTTCCAACAAGTCTGTACAGTTCAGTCAGTTCAGAGTGTTAACAGTAGAGGAAGGTGAGTAAAAGTACAGCACATACTGGAGAGACTTTCATTTAAATGTTCCTTTTCTATTTTTGTGTAAGATACTAAAGCAATTTCAGATTCTATTTATTATTATGTTTTTTATACTTTATTTTATTGTTTCAACTATATTTTAATCCCATTAGATTCTCTTATTGCTAAGAGATATATTAAAGTTGACAAATATTTAAACGCCAAAATGTGTGAGCAATAGATTTTCATAAATGTATGTGTCATCACACATGCATAAGCTTAAAACATATTATAAATATTATGTGAAATAAAATTTTCGATGGTGTTTTGTATCTGGCATTTTGTGAATTAAACTTGTTGGCTTTTATTAGATGTTTATTTTAATTCAAAGATGATCACTGTACTAGTGTAAACATTATTATAATGCAGATTAAATGTGCATACTTGAAAATCTCTACAAAAAAAAAAAACCTGGCAAGCTTGGAGTCCTGGACTACACACTGGTAATTTCCAAGATCCGAATTTCAAAGATTTGAAAAGAAAATCACCTTGAACACCTGCATAGTTTGAGTCTGACTGAATAACTCCTCCAGTGTATCTACAGACATGAACATGTTCGATTTCTGAATTTAGCACATTCTTCCTGAAGTGTATGTATAATTAACTTAGTGAAATAATAATTGGGTAACTCACTGTAGTTTCTTTAGTTTGCAGTGTGGATCTTCCAGTAGATCAGAGAGCAGCTTCACTCCTGAGTCTCCAATTTTTTTCCCATTTAGATTCAGCTCACTTAATCGTAAAAAGTCACAGATCCTACAGAGAGAACATTTGAAGCTTTTAGATCTGTTTAATCTCCTATTTTTCTTTGTGTATGTGCATCTATGACACAAAAAGTCAGTAACTCACAGTAGTTTCTGCAATTTATAGTGTGGATCCTCCAGTAGATCAGAGAGCAGCTTCACTCCTGACTCTCCTGTTTTATTGTAGTTCAGATTCAGCTCTCTCAGGTGTGAGGGGTTTGATTTCAGAGCTGAAACCAGAGCAGCACAGCCTTCATCTGTAATACTGCAGAGGTCCAGCCTGCAGAGAGAAAAAATCACAGTTCAGCACTTGTACAGACAAATGTAGAAGACAAACGAATGATCCCCGGCACTCAAAAACATGCTTTTCAAATAGTAAACTCCTCTTAGATGGTTAATTATATTGATTGGTATTTGTGTTATCACAGCACAAATTTTTACATTTTTAATGAGCACAGACTTCCCCTGTACGTCCAAGTAACAATTTGTTGGATTCTATGCATACGTTTCCTAATTCAGAAAATAGCTCATTCTATATACTAAATTAAGCTAGAAAGAGGATTAATGATGTGATGACAGGACTCTTCTAGCCACAGAACATGCCTAAACAAACATAGCTACCTAAATGATGTTTGAACAGTGCAGTTAGCTAATACAGATAGTTTAAATGGTATTTAAAATTGTGAAAGTACCATATTCCTGTGTCACTACCATCAAATTTTGTGTGTGGAGTGTGTAGACTAGATGCTAGCTGTAGTAAACTAACACCTCCACACAGGTGAAGTAGTGTCTATGATTAAATAGTTTGTGAGGCAGGTGAAACAATGTCCATGAGTAAATAGTTGGTAAAGTAGATGAAGTAATGTCTATGATTAAATATTTTTTGAGGCAATTGAAACAATGTCTATGATTAAATATTTTGTGAGGCAGGTGAAACTACGACTATGATTAAATAGTTTGTGAGGCAGGTCAAACATTGTCTATGATTAAATGGTTTGTGAGGCAGATGAAGTAATGTCTAAGATTAAATAGTTTGTGAGGCAGGTGAAGTAATGTCTATGATTAATATTTTGTGAGGCAGGTGAAGTAATGTCTATGATTAAATATTTTGTGAGGCAGGTGAAGTAATGTCTATGAATAAATAGTTTGTGAGGTAGGTGAAGTAATGTCTATGATTAAATAGTTTGTGAGGCAGGTCAAACATTGTCTATGATTAAATGGTTTGTGAGGCAGATGAAGTAATGTCTATGATTAAATAATATGTGAGGCAGGTGAAGTAATGTCTATGATTAAATATTTTGTGAGGTAGGTGAAGTAATGTCTATGATTAAATAGTTTGTGAGGCAGGTGAAGTAATATCTATGATTAAATAGTTTGTGAGGCAGAGAAGACATTGTCTATGATTAAATAGTTTGAGTCAGTGCAGCAGCAGGATCATCAGGAGGGTCAGAGTTATGCAGGTGAAGCACAGCGTTGGACAGCAGATACAGAGCTGTGCATGAGTATATTTATTCATCCAGCCCTGCTCAGAAGTTTGGAATCACTTTACAAATTTCACATTCTTGCTATTTTATTTCTAAAAATTATACAGCACATATTTTAAGCCTCTTAATTTGACAACAAAAAGTCCTTTTAGATGTTTTGGTACATATTATTCTTTATATTCTGGCAAAAACTAAAAATTATTAAAGAATAAATCATATATAATTATCTATTTATAGCAATGTTTGATCAAGTTAGTTGCTTCGGAGTATGATTGTCACTTTTATTTAAATACAGTATGTATATTAATTTTATTAGAACTTCATACAGTCATTCTAGAATATTCTACATCAGTTTCTTGGGTTTAACACTGATATAAACACTTAACAATCTGTTATCCAACATATATTATTTAAACTATTACTTTGTAGTAGTTTATGAAAATATTCCTAATTATTAATTGAAATAATAATGATGACTCTTCTATGATCTGAAGGCTTGGAATTCAGTAATAGTCTATTAGCTTCAATCAGTATCAGACTGATAAGATAAGCAAAAAGGTCCAATGAAACAACATTTTTTTATCACAAAAACAGGAAACCCAGTCAATTCTAATTAAAAATCAATGACAGAGATTGTTCCTGCACTGCACTAATGGTGTGTAGAAGCTACGATGATGGGCCTTTTATCTGACACCCACAGAGTTAATCTCTCAAAATAAACAAATGTGCGAACTATGCTCATCTGATCATGTATGTACAATCATATGCAAAAATATAGGCAGCCCTCGTTTAAGTGATAATAAGTACAGATTTTCTACAGAGAACAAATGTCTGCAGATTTCAATGCACAACTATGTTTATTTGCTGAATGTTAAACATTGGAAAAGAAATAAAACATAACATGTTGCCTAATATGAAAAAGCAAATGCAAAGCAAATCAAACTGATTCATGATATTAAAATCAAAAGGCCAAGAACGTTTTGTATTCTCTAACTGTATCTACACAATCACAGAAGGCTGCTTTACCTGTGGACGGTATTGAAAACAGTATATGTGTATGTACATGGGGCAGGAGTTAACCATGGACAGGGGCTGCAGATTAGCTGTATGCATTACATCTGCTACATTTTATGTAACAATTATTTTTCTGTCCTGTCCCTCTTAAATAAATAAATAAAACATATAAAATTTGCATGTTTGAGTTTTCACATTTTTATCAAGCAAATAAATACATATAAAACATGGTATGAATCAGGGTTTCTTTGCCAGCTGCGTATCTCAAGTTTCTCTTTTCTAATTTTCATTTTTTAAAATTAATTTTAGATTTTTGTGTTTGGACAGAAATGGGCAATTTCTGTGTCTGGGTCAGAATTTCTGTGTCTGCATTTAATAATTAAACATCATATTTAAGCTTTTTTTTACACTTTGAAAATTCTTGCATTCTAGGAATAAAGAGCTGGACCTTGAGGTGGAAATTGATGAGAACCCCCGGTATAAAGGACTCTGCTCTAAATTTGGTGTGTTTTTATGTATTTGTGTGTACAAAAGCAGTAATTCACTTACTGCAGTTTCTCCAGTGTACAGTGTGGATCCTCCAGTAGATCAGAGAGCAGCTTCACTCCTGACTCTCCTAGTTTATTGTAGTTCAGATTCAGCTCTCTCAGGTGTGATGGGTTTGCTTTCAGAGCTGAAACTAAAGCAGCAAAGCCTTTCTCTGTTATACTGCAATTAGACAGCCTGCAGAGTGAAGAAGAAAGACTTGTAAACAGCTCAGCAAAAGTTCACCCAGCAACCAGTACTGTATATGAAAAACAATCTCTCTTTTCCTCCAACACACAAACACAGAGAAAAGATCAACATTTTAGAACAAGGGTCACAGTAATTCTGGATGCAGCCCTGCGCTACATTTGTCTTGAAATTCCCAACACATTCTACTGCATTTATCATGGAAAAGAGATGCAAATTTCCGAGTAACATACATAAGACAATGTAACACTGACATACATGAAAGAAAATCAAAATAGCTTAAGTAAAATGAACATAGGCTAAATTTGAGTGAAGGTTAGTAGTGAAATTACATGCAAGATATTGCATTGGATGCAGTCAGGGGTTAAAATAAGATGTTTACATCTGTCTCCTGCCTTCTTTCATAAATAAGCTAAATAGACATATTTGATTCTATTGTGCAGCTTGGGTTTTTACCTTTTAGGTTAAAACAAACCCATACCAAAACATACATATGGTAATAAAGTAATGAACAGGAAAACATCAATAAAATAGTTCACAACAGAGCAAGAAAACAAAGTACTCACACAACTTTTCTGGATGCTTTGGCCACCGGCAGCAGCCTCAGAAGACATTCCTCTGATGGGTCAAATTTCCTCAGGTCAAACTCATCCAGCTCCTCTTCTGAATTCAGTATCACAAACGCCACAGCTGACCACTGAGCAGGAGAGAGCTTAGCTCCACTGAGACCACTGGAACCTCCTCTGTTCAGGTATGTTTGAACTTCCTGCACTAGAGAATGATCATTCAGTTCATTTAGACAGTGGAACAGACTGATTGTTTTCTCTGGAGAGGGATTCTCCCTGATCTTCGCCTTAATGTACTTGACTATTTCCTCTTTGCTCTGAGAGCTGTTTCCTGTCTGTGTCATTAGGCCTCGTAAGAGAGTCTGATTGGACTCCAGTGAGAGGCCCAGAAGGAAGCGGAGGAAAAGGTCCAGGTGTCCATTCTCACTTTGTAAGGCCTTGTCCACTGCAGCCTTGAGGAAATCAGACATTGTTAACGTTTTAAAGAAACTAAAAAATCCAGTGGTTTGTTGTACTAGCACACTTCTGTTGTTGGAGATGAAGAAAAGAAATGCATATAAAGCAGCCAGAAACTCCTGAACACTCAGATGCACAAAGCAGAAAACCTTCCCCAGGTGCAGCCCAAACTCCTCTCTGAAGATCTGAGTACACACTCCAGAGTACACTGACACTTCTCTGACATCAATGCCACACTCTCTCAGGTCTTCCTCATAGAAGATCAGGTTTCCTTTTTCCAGCTGTTGGAAAGCCAGTTTTCCCAGTGCCAGAATAATCTTTCTAGTCTGTTTATGATCAATGTCACTTTTTCTTTGGTACTTTTGGCTGCTGTGTTTGATCTGAAAGATCAGGAAGTGTGTGAACATTTGAGTCAGAGTCTTGGGGATCTCTCCACTCTCTGCTTCACCCAGCATCCTCTCTAGAACAGTGGCTGCAATCCAGCAGAAGACTGGGATGTGGCACATGATGTAGAGGCTTCTTGAGGACTTCATGTGTGTAATGATTCTTTCAGCAAGGCTCTGATCACTGATCCTTTTCCTGAAGTATTCCTCTTTCTGAGGGTCACTGAACCCTCGTACCTCTGTTACCTGGTTAATACAATCAGGAGGGATCTGATTGGCTGCTGCTGGTCGAGTAGTTATCCATAGGAGTGCAGAAGGAAGCAGATTCCCATTGATGAGGTTTGTCAGCAGCACATCCACTGAGGCTGACTGTCTAACATCAAATAAGCTCTCATTGTTCTGGAAATCTAGAGGAAGTCGACATTCATCCAGACCATCAAAGACGAACATGACTTTATAGTGATCATAGTCTCTGGGTTTCAATTCTTTTATATCTGTGAAAAACTGATTTAGAAGATCTAACAGACTGAGTTTCTTCCTTATCAAATTGAGCTCTCTAAAAGGAAGTGGAAATATGAAGAGAACATCCTGATTGGCTTTTCCTTCAGCCCAGTCCAGAATGAACTTCTGCACAGAGACTGTTTTTCCAATTCCAGCGACTCCTTTAGTCAGCACAGTTCTGACGGGTTTGCCTTTAAAGATGTCGTTGCATTTGATGGGCGTCTCCTGTGTTGCTGGTCTCCTGGATGCTGTTTCAATCTGTCTGACCTCATGTTCATTATTGACCTCTCCACTCCCACCCTCTGTGATGTACAGCTCTGTGTAGATCTCCTTCAGAAGTGTTGAGGTTCCAGGATTTGAGATTCCTTCATTAATTTTCTGACAATTTTCCTTCAGTGTGGTTTTGAGCTTTTGATGACAGGAAGGAGCCAGTTCTAATAAATAGAAACAAAAATATCAATTAATAACAAATAAACAGGTTATTTACTGACTATTAATGTTCAGTATCACAATATACTCTTTATGTACATATGATCTCTTACTGATCTGTAGTGTGTTAGCGAGGTCTGTCTGGTTCATGTTCCTTAGGACGTGCAGTGTGATCTTCAGCGCTCCCTCTCTGACACTTTGATCCTCCTCATGCTCCACCTCTCTCTCAGAGCATGCTGGGTAATCCAGACTCAGTAGCTTCACAAACCTCTTCAGGTGATTCTTTACCAGAGAGATGACTTTGTGCTCCAGCTCCTGATTGATAGTCAGTGCAACAATTTGGTTTTGTTTAGTAAGAATGATGAAAGCATGATGTTTACAATATATTTTTGGTATAATAATATTTATAAGGCAAGGTTATTTTTACAAGACATTTCATACACAAATGCTACATGAAGTGCTTCACATAAATAAAAGCAAAATAAAAACCCCATAAAAACATAAATAAACATAGATAGTTCTGTTCCCAAAAATGTGTTTCTTTGCCATAAAACAATTTTAGAGTTCAGGTTAGTTGAGAGATTAATATATGATTTTGTATTCCATGAGAGATAAAGCAGAATCACTGTCTGTTACTACACGATTAAGTGCATTTCATTCTATCCAACCAATAACATTTCTAAAAGTGGACAAAACAGTAAATTGTTGTTATCCTAAAATAATAAAACTGAGACATTAAACAGTGAAAATACAAATTTTAACATAAATTATAACTCTACATACACTACAAACAATACTTGTTGTTTTACCCAAAAAATAGCAAGTACACTTGCTCCCTTATATTTTCATTTTAATTAGCATCAAACAGTAAAATAATTGAACAATAATCGGTGTGTTTTATGTTCTGTTGACTTATTACTTAAATTTTAGTCACATCAACATTCTTAGACAGCCAAATGACTTATTTTTTAAGTTAAAACACCAAATCATTTTTACAATGTTATGTTGTCATTTAGTTACACACACCTTGAATAAGAGCTCCATGTTTCCCCTGGTAGTTTTTGACATCTCCTTCTGTGCTCTGCATGTCAAATAATATATTGTTTTTATAGGTTATATATTGTGGAAAACCTGAACAGCACTTTTAAGACAGTATCATATATTACAACACCTTCATTTCAACTTTTAGTTATTAACTCTCTAGAAGATACTCCTAATATACAGTTCTACAGTCATTAAAACACCCACTTGTTCCCAGTGGAGTTCTGAAAATCCACTAATTGACCAGATATGAGGACGACATTTTTATTTTCCATCAGAATCATCATTTTGGTCAAGGTTGTATCAGCATTGTGTTGTATCAACATAAAATATCATTATCAATATGATAAACATTGTATTAATGTCAATATCATAACATTGCTTCAGTATTAATTCAGAATTACCATCAGACTAGAACACTGTCAAAGATCAATTATGTTAACATTGAAGCTTTACTGTTAATTTAAAGAGGGTAACACTTTATAATAAGGGTACATGAACTGGCAGTAATTAAGGCATTTACTAATGAATAACTAATCAGAAAGTAATGAGTCATTAATCAGGAACAAATGAATAAGTCATATATTAACAACCACAAGACTAAATTACTAACACATGCACTAATAAATGAAGATGAAGGTAATAAAGGCTTTATTCAGTGCCTGAATTAATTAGGAATTAATGTGTTAATTAAACATACAAAAAGAATGTTAGTGCACATTGGCGAACTGCCAGAAGCTCTGTTAGTTTCATTCTATTCATGCAATTTGTAGCGAACACTGACTGAAACTTCACTTCAAGCTGAGTGTTTACACAAAAGTTAAGGGCCTTTTGGCTCCAGCAAGTCTGGAGGTGTAGGTGTAAATCTGTCAGCTTAACACCCCCAACCCCAGGCCCAGCCTAATTTACAGCTGAATCAAGAACCAGCACCCCTCTCTCTTGACCCAGGGGGCAACAGGACACCCCCTCTGGAATGTGGCAGATGACTCTCCAAAGTCCTGTGGACAACTTTGTCTTTAAGTAATAGAAAGTACATTTCTATTGTGTATATCCACTCCAAACTGCAACCATTCGTTAGGACTCATTCAAACTAAACTAGACATACCAAAAACGGAACTGCTACGACAATCGGAACTGAAAATCTAAGACTTTATAAATTCTCTTTAGGACCCACAGCACCCCAAGGTGTGAACTCAAGAATAACCACATCACCACCGTAAGGACTGTTGCTCACAAAGGACCCCAGAAACACTCATTGATATGCATGTTTGACTAGCAACCCTATCTAAATTGCAAGACACGATGCTTGTATTTGTGTACCCAGTGACTTAAAGTGTGTATTGGAATGTGTAGGATAACTGGCTGAAAGTTTACTTAAATAACCATTTAAAGTAGTGATTTTAGAACACTAAGCATGCACCTAGGGTTTCTTTTCACTTATTATATCTAACCTTCTATCTCACTATTCTCGTTTACTTTTATTCTTTGAAGTTTACTGTGTTAAATCTCCTGCCATGAAAAGACATGAAAATACCCCAAAGGGTACTCGTAAGACTATTTCTGCCTTTACAATAGTTGTTTTCAGGTAATGTGGACAAAACTGTAGGTTGATGCACAAATGTTAGGTTTGTCTGTGTGTGTTTGGAACGTAATTCAATGATCTGAAATTGTTTGGTTTAATCTAACTAAGCATTTCAAATCTAGAGGTAACAAAGAAGGGAGTTCCCTGGGAAGGTGCTCACAGAGAAACCACCCCCAATCAGAATCTAGAACTAGGAATAGCTAATTACCCGCTAGGTAAGAGAACCTATCACCACTTTCGCTCCACCCCCGAAGGGAGGGGCCAACTGCTGGGTAAAACCGGCGTGCACGGCCGTTCCAGTTAGTTCGAGCTCGCATTCCAGACAAAAAGAAGGAGCTTCCATAAGTCTGTGCCAACCGCGGTTAGAAAGAAAGTTTAGAAGTTTAGAACACTTAGATCAGATCTAGATATTTTGTTGTTCATGTAGTTTGTCCTTTGTATATACCTTTAACTTAACCCAACCTTAGAGAAGAAAGTGAAGATTTCTTTACGTGGCCAAGTAAGGAATTTCTTCAAATGTTAGCTCTGATGAAGATAGGTAGTAATTCAGGGTATTAGCCTCGAAATTTGAATGCATTCCTCCAGCCTAAAAGAAGCCAGAGACTCTGAAGCCCAGCTAGAGCCGCGCCTCGATCAGCGAACTGAATCCTCGCCAGAAGACTGCCCTGGTCCCACATCCATCCTCCAACCGCTCTAAAAAGAAGCCCAGAGACTCTGAAGCCCAGCCAGAGCTGTGCCTCGACCGGCGAACTGAATCCTCGCCAGAAGACTGCCCTGGTCCCAAGCTCCATCCTCGGGCAGGCGAGACACCGAAGTCGGTCCTCAACTGCAGCGCGTCGCCTGGGCGAAGTCCCACCAAGACTCCAGGGCCAGCGAAGGAATGCCCAGCATGCGAGCTCCAGCCGATCCTCAAGCGACCCATCTCAGAGGACCCGCAGTCCTGTCTCCCGACTTCAAAGTAAGGCTGGCTCCCTTTCATTTGTGAAGCCAAGATTCGAAGCTATTTTATTTGATAAGAACTCTCTGTTAGATATATATTAGTTAGGTTAAGTTGCCCTATAGATCCTTTGTCCTTAAGGCCCGAGTCGCTTTCCCAAGGAGCACCCTCAGCCACCTTTGCATACCATTTTACACTCTGAAATAAGTTACATCACATGAGCCATTCCCTTGCTTTTATTTCTTTTCTTTTGTTTACTAAGAAACCAAGTTATCCAACTGTAGTGTCATATTTAGTCAATAAATTGAAGCACCGTCGGCATGAGTGTATGTCTCTTTCCTGCAATGGTCTGTAGATTTTAAACAAAATCCAAGTTACAGATTAAAATTGCAATAACCGTTACAAATTTACATTACTATGACAATACTGCAATGTCATACTGTTACAACAGAAACATTTGTATGTTGTATGTTTAATAAACTGTTGTATGTTTAATAAACTGTAAACTAGTTTATTTACTGAAAATAGCCATTCGATTGAATTAAAACTGTGAATTATCTTAATATATGCCACAGTTATTCTGAGAAATACCTCCTTCAGAAAATGAAAATGGGTTTCCCATTATACATCTATTATTCTTTTTAAAAATTTGCTATAGCTAAATGTTTTATTAATGGAAACACAGCATTTTGCAATGTAACACTTCAACTGTTTCCACAGCTGGAAATTACTGCTATTTTTCTTCGCTAGTAAATGGCAGTAATTGCGTTAAATGCTATATGTCAAGCGGCCATAGAGACTTGAGTGAATATCTCTAGTACAACATTTAAGAGCAGCGAATGAAAATGATTGAAGTAATAAAAAAAATTTATATTTCTCTTTTCGCCTTTTTGCAATATTTTGCATTTTTCTTATTTTTAAAGGTGAGTTATGCATATTTATACTGTATTATATATGTAATTTACATCAGCAGATATAATATTTACTCATGGTATTGTTGTCTGTGCTGGTATGTAGCTTATGTTCGTGCCTCACCTCTTTTTAGACTAAGGTGTAAAACATGCTGCTGTTTTCTGTGGTGAAATGGATTTGCAGGAACTAATATTTATAAATTTGTTGTAAAGTAGCTTAAATATTTGGTTTGGTGCTTAGTTATTTGTAATAAACCTTTTTGGTTTTAATAGTAAGGTGTTTGTGTTTCTCATGAGCATTGTGTGATTGTAGTAGTAATATGTGGCGTCAGGCGCGTCTGTTCTGTCGGGTTAAAATCACATGTTAATTTTATGCTGCTTGGTTCATTTGTTATTCCTCCTTTGACAGGGACTCTTATTGTGAAGGGCTGTGTGTGCGGTGGCAGTGCTTCACAGGGCCCAGTAGTAAACAGACTGAGCCAAGACAGCGAGAGGGCACTAACTGCGCTTAGCAGAGCGTTAACCCAGCACCATATTCTCCCCTTTGTTTTGTCCTCCGTTCTGAGTTTTTAATAAAGCTGAGTCTCAGACTCGACCTTCAGCTTGTGTGAGTTATGTGGGAACACCGCTGCAGTATGAATATCTGTGTGACTTTAATTAGCGAGCAGTTCTGTCCGTTTTACAGATGTTTGTGGAACTACAGAACCAGTATGTATTGGTTTCTCTTCATTCTCAGTGTTACAGTGACATATTCACGTGCTCTAGTTCTGTGTATTGTGTAGAAGTCATAAGATGATAATAAAATAGCTTTAATGTAATAAAGTGTGCTGGTTCATCACTACTTTAGGGGGCACAAACATTATGAATTCATCATGAAGAATCAGTATTTAATGAGTAATAAAGTGTGACTGGTTCACCACTTTACTTTAGGGGGCACAAACATTATGAATTCATCATGAAGAATCAGTATTTAATGAGTAATAAAGTGTGACTGGTTCACCACTTTACTTTAGGGGGCACAAACATTATGAATTCATCATGAAGAATCAGTATTTAATGAGTAATAAAGTGTGACTGGTTCATCACTACTTTAGGGGGCACAAACATTATGAATTCATCATGAAGAATCAGTATTTAATGAGTAATAAAGTGTGACTGGTTCATCACTTTACTTTAGGGGGCACAAACATTATGAATTCATCGTGAAGAATCAGTTTTTAATGAGTAATAAAGTGTGACTGGTTCATCACTTTACTTTAGGGGGCACAAATATTATGAATTCATCATGAGTCATCAGTAATCACTGCTTTCTTTATAGTGAATTGAGAATTGACACTGCATAGTTTTGTATTTTTCTCACTCTCACACACCTCAACCAACACAACATGAGCTTGTAAATTAGCAGTTGAGTTCAATCAGGTATACTAGATCTGGGAAAGCACAAAAATATGCATACAGTTAAGGATTCTTATGACTCCAGGAGAAAGACACTCCAATAATGAACTCATTTCTGAGTTCAGTGGTAACTGTAGGCTAAACTATTTCCTCATGAGGCACTGTGTCTCAATACAGG